AGTCTGCGCCAGAGGTGCGAACAGGCGGCAACAGGTGGCGGCCCGGCCCAGGGTTCGATCCCTGCCAATTGGTATTCAATATGTGAGGTGATCACTGATCAAAGGCCCAAAATTTGATGAGGATCTTGGCAGGAGGCCAGGCGGAACTTGACTAAATTAAATAAATTAATTGGCCGAAAGCTACATTTGTCATTTAATCAAGATGATCTAGGTCGAATGAAGATCTAAGCGATAATGAGAAGTACAAATGATTGATCTAACTGAAGATCCCCCTATATGAGCTGCTCTTTCAAGTACTCAACCTCAAGCTGATCATATTATCATGATTCTAGTCATTATTAGATCTATATATTGCGTATTTCATGTGATCATGCCTGATGAACTAATAGATCAGCATAGGTGCCTCTATAAATGCTTGAGCATTATGAAGATCTGTCTGTATGAGCTGCTCTTTGACGTACTAAATCTCAAAACTGATATGGTAGTGGTCTGATTTGATAGTCTAGATCTATATATAGATCGAAGCCTATCAAGTATTTCACGTGATCATGTTTTCAACTCCAAATCGCTAATCACTTTGCACTCTTCGAGCGAGTCTAATCCAATTTATGAATGAGCAAACACTTTACGATCTGCGCTTATCGCTGAACTGGTTCATTCACAGCGCTCAGCGTCAATTGATTTGAGCAATCGAAAGGGTTTCGGTAAGAAGAAATTATTTTGGGGTATTACTTACTCATAAATCGCATCCTTATCACGTTTGTGTACCTCGGGTATTGCGCCCATTAGGTGATTAGCAACCGGTGATACATGACTAGGTGTACCATGCGCTCCGGCCCCCGAATGGTAGCCGTGCATCCCAACTGTGGCCGCTGCCGCGGCGTGCGTCATGTGCGGTGAGTGGTGCGAGGGGAGGCCTTGCAGTCCCGGCGGCCGATGGCCGACATGTGGATCGTACATCGCCGCGGCGGCGGCGCCAGAGTCCATGCCGTAGCCATGCAGGCCATCGTCATACTATGAGAGAGAGAGAGAGAGAGAGAGAGAAAGAATGAATATATTATACTTTTATATTATTGGCAATATTTGTGTAACTAACTCAATCAGAAATCTTGCTCAGCGCCAGTCTATAGATTTCTACCTGCCCAGAGATAGCTATTTCTATGCATCATTTATATATCGGTACATTTGTCTACCTACATTCATTTCTATATTATTTCCAAGCACGTCAACAAAAATTGAAGCTCCCAAAAAAATAACAAAACGGTTCGCATTGTGTTTGACCTTGTGATTACTTTGGCTACGGCACTATATGCATATCTATATATATGGATATATATAGATATCTCTATGTGTGTATATAGAGATATAAGTATATTTAGCTGATTGTTGCTGTTGTCGCTTCTTTTCTTTCGACGTTTTTTGCATATTAATTAAGCGCCAAAAATCAGCAGCAGCAAAACAGTTAACAGAGAGCAAAAAAAAAAGTAATTTTTAATGTTATCAGTTAATCTGTTTCACTCACAGTGTGTGTGTGTGTGTGAGTGAGCGCGCACTAGCTGCGTCTCGCTCGCAATTGCAAACTGGTTTCACGTATATGCAACAAACGGCAACAACTACAAGAGAATATATTTATATGTGTATATGTAT